AAAAAAAAAAAAAAATCAGAAGGAAGGGCCAAGTGCAATGATGAATGCCAGTAATCCCAGGAAGGCTGAGGACTGGGGATGCAGCTCAGTTCAAAGGCCCTGGGTTCCATCCCCAGTACTTGGAGCGGGAAGGACATGAGGGTTGAGCCCTGATGATGGAGGAAAGACTATTTGGGCAGAGGGAACAGATTGTGCAGCAGGTGTGGGCAGGGAGCTTGCCCAGGAGGGTGTGAGGGGCCCTGTGTGTGAAGGGCCAGGACAAGCACAGGGGAAAGTGGAGGGAGGCCAGGTCGGGTGCAGATTGAGGGAAGCTTGTAGGTGACCCTGCCCTTTGGTTTTCATTCTGAGGGGTGGGAGCCAGGGAAGATTTTGAGCAGAGGGGGATGTGGGTGGTGGTGCTGAAGATTGAACATAGACTCTTTGCACTGAGCTACATCCCCAGCCTTTTTATTTTGAGGATGGGGTCTCTTAAGTTGTTAAATTGCCCAGGCTGGGCTCAAACTTGAGATCCTCCTGCCTAAGCTTCCTGGAGTGCTGGGATTCTATGCTTGGATCATCTCTGACTTTCACAGGGTTGCTGTGGTTGCTGAGTTGAGAATAAGCCAAGGGGGGCTGGAAAGATGATGTCACATTTCCAAAGATGGGGTCGGATGTGGGATCCAGCCTGGGGGTCTGAACCTGTTGAATGAGTGCTCCCTGCACTGGGGCTGGCAATCAAAGCCAGGCCCTCTTGCATGCCAGGCAAGCTACCACTGAGCTACATCCCAGCCCTGCATAGATGGTTTTCCAAGCAAAGGAAGAGTCCCTCTTGAGCCTCGAAGGGCTGAAGAAGGATGGGTGGAGACAGAGCCAGATGCTCGGAGCCTGCTGCTCAACATGCCTCAGGGCCCAGAGCTGCAACCTCCTGCAACTGGGGCCACTTCACGAGGCGGGATGTGGGTGTGTAAAGTGGAAGTAGCCAGGTGGGCATGGGGGAGGCACTCCTGGAGGGTGTGACAGAGGCAGGGCCAGGTGTCACCATGTCATAAACCACTTCCCCACATTTTTTTAAACTCAGGATTGAGCTCAGGACCTTCACCACTGCATCCCAAGTCCTTTATTTTTTGAGACAGGGTCTCCCTAAGTTGCTAAATTGCCCGGGCTGGGCTCAAACTTGGGATCCTCCTGCCTCAGCCTCCCAGAGTGCTGAGATTATAGGCGTATGCACTTACTGTCATATACAGGTAAGGTCTGTGCTAGGTGACAACACCTCTTTAGACTTAGGACATATTCAGCCAAGCTGCAGCCAGGCTCTGTCTCATTGATCCCAAGGGTTTTCAGAGTGAGTGACAAACATTTGCCCACTTGCATTATCAGGGTTTCCATAAAGGGGTCCTAGGAGAAAGGCTAGCATTGGGGAGCCCTCAAGGCGCTGGGCCCAGTTGAAGGGGCCCATTGAGTCCTGATGTTGAGCGCTGCTGCCACCTGCTGGTTCAGACGGGTGTTGCCGCCGCCGCCGCCGCCGCCTTGCACCTGTGTGGTGGGGCTGGGATGAAGTCACCGCCTGTCGTCCAGATGCCCGCCAGCTGGCGGGAGAGACGTGGCGACAATGACAAGACAGGGAAGTACGGGGGCTGCAGGGATCTGGAGGAGGACGGGGAAGCTTTCCTAGGATTCAGGAACAGGATGGTGCCCGGGGTAGGGGGATGGGGGCGCACAGGAAGGGCCTAGGCTCCATGGCCAGGGTGTGCATACATGCTCACGGGCACTCGAGGTTCTCCTGTTGTTTATCTCTTTTTTCTTTCTTTTGAGACAGGGTCTCGCTATGCGGTTCAAGTTGGGGTTGAACCCACTATGCAGCCCAGGCTGGCCTCAAACTTGCAGCGATCCTCCCGCCTCAGCCTCCTGAGTGCTGGGACTGCAGGTCACCACACCCAGCATGCCAGTTGTTTTGGTCACAGAGCCCAGCACCCAGGGGCCCAAGGGGAAGCTCCCCAGCCCAACTAGTGTCTGAAATCATCACTCGAAGCTCCACCCGGGGCTGGGGGCCCTCATCCTCTGGGAGGGAGATGGTGGGGGGTGGGGGCAAAGGTCCTGTTACTCCGTGTGACATCTACGATGTCACTTTGGGATGAAACTCATTATACACCTGAATATAAATTTATGTCTTCTTTTTCCTAGTAAGATTAAAAGAAATTTCACCTAATATTCTAATCCAAACTTTCAGGTGGAGATGAATAATTGACTTCCTACTTAGAATAAGTACTTAAAATATTGAACATTTAAATATTTAAAACTGGGCTGGGGATTTAGCTCAGTAGTTTTGCCGCCTGCTGCGCAAGTGCAAAGACCCAAGTTCGATCCCCAGTACCAAAAAAAAAAAAACGTAAATATTTAAAACCATTTTATTTTAGCCAGGGATTTAGCTCAGTGGTGCTGTCGCCTGCCTCGAAAGTGCAAGGTCCTGAGTTCATCCCTGGTACCGGAAGAAAAAAAGCCGAAAAAAATGTGCACAAAAAATAACAAAAATCATGTCTTCCTCAGCACCTCCTTCAGGTCCCCTAATGTTTTCTTGAGCTTTCACCTGTAAACAAAGACCCCCCCCCATCTTTTTTTTTTTTTTTTGAGACAAGAGTCTTGCTACGTAGTTTAGGCATTCAGGCAGACTGTGAATTCACTGTGCAGCCCAGCCTAGCCTTGAAACCTCCTGCCTCAGCCTCCCAAGTGCTGGGACTAGACCTGTGTGCCATCAGGCATGGCACTGAAGCAGTTTTGGTACTGGGAACTGAACTCAGGGATTCAGTGTGCATGCCAGGCAGATGCTGCGCCACTAAGCTACATTCCTGGCCCATCAAAGCATTTTTGAACCTCTGAATTGACAGTATTATTTCAAGCCCGGAGAGTGACTAGGATGGTTGTTCGACATTTGGGCAGGTGAATATTTGGAGTCTCCTTGGGGTAAGCACAGAATTGTGTAAAATAGATCTCCTGTTCTTTACACATTCCCTTTCCTTGCTCAATTTCTCTCCACAGCACTTGCCATCTGATATACTTGTTTCCTAGTGCGGTGATTGAACCAGGGCCTTGTGCATGCTAGGGGAGTGCTCTAACTCTGAGCTACATCCCCAGCCACTACAATTGTAATTCAAGACAGGGTCTTGCAAAGTTGTCCAGGCTGGCCTTGAACTTCTGACCCCCCTGCCTCAGCCTCCTGAGTAGCTGGGACTACAGGCGTGCACCACCACACTGGGCTCTTACTAAACTTCTTAAAACAAGAGATGCACACTAACACCAGCAGCCAGGGTTCCAACTGCCACTGGGTTTAAGATAAACATCACCCATTCTGGGCTATTTTTGCCCAAGTGTGTAACACAGTAGCCTGAACAGAAGGGCGAACAACAAAATAACTTCCCTGAGTCTTCAGGGCTGTGGAAGTCTTTAAACTCAAAGGCTGTGAACTGTTCTAGATTGAGGGAAGTCAGACTGTGGCAACTCCGTGCAACATTTGATATTGCAACAGATTTCTTTTTTTGGTACCAGGGACCGAACTCTGACCTTGCACTTTTGAGCCGGGCGGGCAGAAGCACTGAGCTAAATCCCTGGCCCCACAGATCTTTGTTTTCATCCCAGGAAGCTAGGTTTTGGACAACGAAGAACAATTTAAAACTGTTTCCAAGGAAGAGTTAAAGGCCTGGTGACCCATCAGCCCTCCTGCTGGCTGACTCCTAAGCCTGGAGGGGTCAAGTGCCCAAGAAAGGCCCCACTTACACCCCCCATCTGTGCTTCATCCCTGGCTACAGCAGGCCAGAGATCAGGGCCTGTTTGGGATACGGTACTGGCAGCTTCTCAACTGAATGTGTCTCAACTGAAAGGCCTTATTTGGGGTATAGCTCATCTACCTCTTCAGCTGGGGTCCAACCAAGGACCATCAAGACTGGCATTGGCAGGAAACCTGGCTGAGTGGGACCCAGAGCCAACCAGGAGCTGCTGCTGCAGGGGCTTTCTAGAGGGAGCACTGAACTGTTTAGGGGTGCACATCTGTAATCCCACCCCTCTAGAAGGCGGAGGCAGGAGGATTGTGGACTTGAGTCCACCCAGGCAATTTAGTGAAACTGTCTCAAAAAGGGGAGGGGGGTTAAGTCAGTGGTAGAGCACCTTGAGTTTGATCTCCAGGCTCTCTCTCTCTCTCTCTCTCTCTCTCTCTCTCTCTCTCTCTCACACACACACACACACACACACACACACACACACACACACACGCTGCTGCAAAGCCTTCCCAATGGAGACAAGTCTCTTACACACTTTATATCACTGGTGCACTACTCAGTGTCTGAGACCCTGAGGCTGTAGCACCTGCTCTTGGAATGAATGCTGGACCTGTCAGAGGTATTAGGAGCAAGAGTGTAGCGGGGAGATATTCATAATCTCAGGAGTTGTTGGCCAGGAATTTTTGTCCATGCCAGCAACAAGCCTTTAACTCGATATTCAGGAGGCTGAGGCAGGAGGATTGCGAGTTCATGGTCAGTCTGGGAAATTTATCGAAACTGTCTCAAAATAATAAAATGGACTGGGGATGTAGCTCAGTCCAAAGGCCGAGTTCAACTCCAGTACTGAAAAGCAAAAAACAAACCTTCCCCTTTCTTTCTGCTGAGGCTGGGTTAGAGCTGTGTGCGGATGCTGCCATTCAAGGTACCAGGGTGCCACACCTTGTCACCTCTCCTTGAAAGACAAGGCGGCAGCGGCCCATGGGGGCAAGGGAGGGCACAGCAGGAGGCGTTTCCGGTGCAGGAAGGAGGGACTAGCTTGCTTCCTCCTGCTCACTGCCCTGGGCTGGGCTGCTGGATTGTGCCTCTTCCTGGGGAGTGTCCTTCCTGGAAGGGAGGCAAAGGGCTACAGCTCCGGCTTGCCACACCCCACCAGGCAAAGTCCCAGGGACCAGGCACCTGCATTCAGGGCTCCGGGGGTAAGTGTCCTGAACCCACTCACCCTGTCCTTTCCTGGGGGTCCGGACCCTCTGCTGGCTCTTAGGGTGGGGAGTGGTCCCCTCCAACCTGTGTACTTTTTGGTGGACCAACCACAGACCGAGCACAGAGGACAGGGACAGCCTGCCTCAGCCTGCCCCTGACACCTGCGTCAGGGCCAAGGCCAAGGCGGGACACCTCAGTCAGGCAAGCTTCAGACCTGTCCAGTCACCCCACAGAGCCCAGAATCCCCAGTGGCCGGAGTGCTGGGGGCCGTGCAGCCAGAGCCCTCGCTGGACCAGGTGCTCCAGGAGCGGGATGAAGCCCTTGCCAAGTGAGAGCAGAGAGCGGCCATGGGGGTTGGGGGGGCACATACAGGGCCCCATCCTGCTGGAAGAGGGTGGAAGACAGGCATCCCTGGAGGAAAATCCCACAGCCCCTGAGCCTCAGGCTGCCATCCCTGTGCCCGAAGGAAGCAAGCGGTGGAGGCCGAGCTGGACACATGCAAGGCCAGGCTGCGCACTGTGGAGGCCCAGTTGCTGGAGGTCCTGGAGGAGAAACTGAGGCTGAGGCAGGAGGTGGAGGCCTGGGAGGTAGGGTGGTGCCACGGCCAGACCTGGGCGGGGTGGGGTGTGGCCAGAGTAGCTCTGACCCTGCTCCCCCACCAGGAGGACATGCAGCAGCTAGTGGCGAAGCTGGTGCACAGGCAGCTGCAGAGCGAGGCCAGGGGTGCGCTGGGCACCTACGGTGACGCTGGTGCTGCCAGGAGCCTCCAGGCCCAACCGACTCGGGGTCAGCAGGGCCGATGGTGGTGAGAGCCAAGACTTTGGGGGCACCATCTTTATTCATTAAAGCTGGAGGTCTGACTGCCTCTGCACCCTGGTAACCACTCAGTGCTTGCCTGAGTCCTTCTGTGTAGAGACATGGAACCAGATGCAGGAACTAGAAGCTCGGGGTCTTCTGGCCCCTCCTTCAGGTGCAACTCTTAAGTCAAAAAGCCTTGCACAGTGTCCATGAAGTCCTGTGGGCGGTCTGCATGGACCAAGTGGCCTGCGTTAGGCACAGTCTGAATCTGTGCCTGAGGGAAGAGCCGCCTCATCTCAGGGTGGTGGCTGGGTCTATCCCCCGCAGAGATAGTGTCCGGAAAAGGGCCAGTGGGTGATGAGGAGAGACAAGAGGAGCAGGGTGGGGAGATGGAGAGTCATGAGCCCAGGCACATGGCATTCCTGGGGTTCTCAGGCACCCCCTGCCCATCCCCAGCCCTCACCCAGGCTGGCTCACTTACTGCACTAATGCAGAGTCTCCACCAATGAGGAAGAGGGTTGGCCCAGAGTAGGATTCCTGTAGCCGAGGGAAGCACATGAGTTTGGCCATGTTCTGGGCCAAGGCATCCAGATTCACTCTCCACCTGAAATGCCCGTTGATCTCCACCAGGTTGGTGAGCAGGAACTGCCGCACAGTCAAGTTCTGTGTGGGTGTGGGGGTGCAGCAGTTAGGGGTCTCCCTGTGAGGCCGAGCCACAGCTCTGCTTCCCCTGACAGGTAGGTCCTAGTCTACACCATTGTCGGGGGAGCCATGGGCTAATCACCTGGACCACGAGGCTGAGCTGCTCATCAGCCAGTTTCCAGGCACTGGAGCGGGGCAGCTCATCTGGGATGTCCATGGCCTTCATGGCTGCCACATAGCTGGAGAAACGTGGCAAGGAAGACTGTGGCATCGGACTGATGTCCACAACAATCAGACGCTCCACCAGCTCGGGCTGTGGGAGGGAACAGGAACTAGGGATGGGGCTTGGGGCAGGCACAGCGGATCTGGAGTCTCAGGTTACCTGCTGGGCACCCAGGTCTATACGGATGGCAGGAGGCGCCAGTCAGTGCACTCACTCTCTGCAGGGACAGCACCATAGCTGTCTTTCCCCCCATGCTGTGGCCGATAAGGACGCAGGGTGCCAGGTCCAGCTGGGGCAGGAGGGCCTGCAGGTCCTGGGCCATGGCCTCATAGCTCATATCCGGGCTGTGGGGGCTGTCGCCATGGTTCCGAGCATCTACAGTCAGCACCTGAGCGGGGGGGAATGGGATGGTGCTGGCACCCACATTCTGAGTGCAAACAGAGCCACGGGCCTGGTAGGGACTGCAATGGGGAGGACTAAAGAGTCTGGGGTCAGATCCTGATGAGGGGAACGGACAGGGCCCAGACCAAGGGACCCAGATGAAGAAGCTGGGACCGAGACCAGGGATTTGGTTCAGTGGTTTCACTGCCTGCTTCGCAAGCGCAAGGACCCGAGTTCGATCCCTAGTACCAAAAAAAAAAAAAGAAGCTAGGACCACTCTGCCAGTTAGAGACGTCCAGGGCTATGACCACGTACGTATCTGGAGGTCTGGCTGCTTAGGTGGCAACCCTGGAGAAGACCAGGAGACTCCAGGGGTTTCCAACAGTCAGAGCACAGGTGACAGTTAAGAGGTGGTGAGCTCCCTGTCGACCCTTCGTGGGGAGGTGACTGGTGGAAGGTAGCTCTGTGTGCAGAAAGGTGGAGATCTATAACAGGAACGACGGACTGGATGGGCGCCAGCGGCAGCATGTGGGGGTTCGAATGGGTCAAGGTCCACCCTTGTGGCCTTTGTCCTCGGAAAGACACCCCCTGGCCCAGCTTCCAGTACTAGGGATTGGATCAAGGGCCTCCCAACTGAGCTACATCCCCAGCCCATTTTTATTCTTTATTTAAAAGTCAATAAGTCGCCCAGGCTGTCCTTTCACTGCTGCGTAGTTACTTTAAACTCAGCCAGGCGACCAGAGGCTGGCCCCACCACGGCCCTCCCCAGGCCCCGCCCCACCCGGAAGCTCACCCTCCGGCCCGTCCGCTGGGCCAAGGCCTTGGCGATGGAATTGAAGTTGGCTTTGCTCCCGAAGAGTCCGTGCAGGAGGACGATGCCCGGGAGGGACGCTTCCCCGTCCAGAAGCTTGTAGGACAGCGGCAGCGGCCTGGAGGAAGGGGTCCAGGATGGGGGAGGGTCAAACGGGGGAGGGGCCTGGGGAGCCACCTAGGAGAGGGCAGGGTCCATGGGAGACGCAAGGGCGGGGGAGGAGAGCGCCGCTCCCTCCTGGCGTCCTCGACTGACCTCGGCTCAGCGTCCTCTCGGCCGCCGCCGCTACTGTTCCTGAGTGCTTCGGGCATCCTCGAGGAGCTAAGCCTGCAAGGACGGAGCGCCCTGTGGACAGCCCAGCGAAGCATATCGACGACGGGCGTCCCACGCTAACCTCCTCAGCGACGTCCGGCGCAGGCTCCGCCTCCCGCGCCCGCCAGGGGCCCCGCCCATTTTCCGCTCAGAACTCCGCCCCTCTCTCACATGGAGTCTCCGCCCCATACAATCCCGGCCCTCAATACGTGGCTTTACGCAATCCCGGAAAATAGTACGTCCCCAGCCCCGCCCTTGCGTTATTACTTAATCCCGCAGGCGCCCCGGAGGAGTCCGGTCCGGGCCACGCCCTGGGCGGAGCCCCTCTCCAGAGGTTCTGGCCACGCCCTTGCCCCCCCCCCCCGCCCTAGGGTCAGGGAATCCGGTCCTCGCCGCCCACGGTGCTCGGTCCCGGGTGCGGGCCGGGGGGGGGGGCTGCGGGGCAGGGCCTCGTGCCCAGCCCCCTCCTGGCCTGGCTCTTTGTCCTCGCGCACCGCCCTAGGCCGGTGCCATGCTTTCTGTGCCGCCCGCACGGACGACAGGCGCCAGGAGCGGTTCTCGTCGGGGCGCCCGCTAGGTGGCGCCATGCCCCACAGCTGGAGGCCCGCTAGGCTCGACGGAGCACAGCGCCTGACCCACCCCGAGGTCCCCTCTAGAGAGAGCGAGGAAAGGCTCCAGAGGCCACTATCTCCACCCCTCCCGTCCCTTTACAGATGGGGCAAGGCGCAGAGACCTCAGATGAGTGGACAGTCGGAATCTGGGTCGGTGTCCCCTTGTTGAGGCGAGTCAATCCCCCCGCCCCACCGGCCAGGTGTTTGTACGGTTCAGGTCATTTGTTGGACTGAACCGCTGGCCCAGATCAGCGCCCTCCACTTGCCAGCATAAAATCGGGCAGACCTCCAGCCCAGGCCTCATCCCCCAGTCCGCCGGGAGCCCCAGTGCAGTTCCCAGAGGAGCTGCTCTTTTTTTTTCCCCTGCGGTATCAGGGATTGAACTCAGGACCTTGCACTTGCCAGACAGGCGCGGTGCCACTGAGTTGCTCTTTCTGCAGCCATCAATCGTGGCATTTTTCTGCTCCAAAGCCTCTAAAGGTTTTATTTTTGCACTGCTGAGCATTGAACCCAGGGCCTTCCCACCAAGTTACGTCCCCAGCCCTTTTAATTTTTATTTTGAGACAGAGTCTCACTAAGTCATTAAATTGTCCAGATTTGGCTCAAACTTGGAATCCTCCTGCCTCATCTTCCCAGAATGCTGGGAAGGCACGTGCCACGAAGCCTGGCTGTGTCTCTCCTAGTGCTGTGTCTTCCTTCCAAGGTAAAATAGAAGAAATAAAGATAGGTAGAAAGGAGACAAGATGGGAATTCTAAAATTGTACTTTTAAGAAAAACTGCAGCCTCAGGACACAAAGTTACTTATGCGTTTTTTTCTTTCCAGGAAACTTAAAAAAAAAAATTCCTAAGATGTTTAAATAGTGTAAATTGGGTTCTGGGACTGTGCTTTTGGCCTGTAAATTGCACTTCCTCCCATATACAGTACCTCGACCTTTGAGGAAGCAGCAATGTTAGTGGGCAGCATATCACAACTTCAAACGCATGTCAGTGGTTGGCATTCTGACATAGGTCTCCAGATGGATTAGTTATGTGACAGACAGTAGGAATACACATCCCAGATCGTCCATCTTTTTTTTGGTTTTGAGACAGGGTGTCAGTATGTAGCTCAGGGTGCCCTGAAATTGGCCAAGGCATTCCTCCTGCCTCAGCCTCCTGAGTGCTGGGATTACAGGCATGCATCACCATGTCCAGGTCCTAGATTGCCTTTTTTTTTTTGGCTTTTGTAAATTCAAATTTTATTTTATTTTTTTAGCACAACATTTATTGGTACATTTTAGATATATATAATCATAATATTCATCATAGGGAATTTGTACCAGTACATGATACAACTACTACGTTTTTTCCCCATTCGCCCCCTCCCTTTGACCCCTCTTCCCCTATATATATATATTTGTATCTGGGCTCGAACTCAAGACCTTGTGCTTTCAAGGCAGGCAGTGGCACCACTGAGCTAAATCCCCGGCCCCCCCATATATACATATTTCTTCTTTATATATTTTTAATTTTATTGGTACATTTTAGGTGTACAATATAATGACATTCATCTTGGAGATTTGTACCTTTACATAATATATCTTGATTTCCCCTCCTTATATACAAAAGCTTTGTTTCCATTTTTTCCTTTTTCTCATTTTTTATTTGTTGCTTCTTTCCCTCTCCTCTCTCCCTTGTTCTCCTCATTTGCATATTTTCTTCCCATTTCCCAGTGTCGCACATTTTAGTCCTTATGTCCACTTTCAGTTTCTTATACCAGAGAACACGGTATTTAAACGTGTGTTGAGGGCCAGGGATTTAGCTCAGTGGTTTCGCCCCCTGCTGTGCAAGCACAAGGAGCCCAGTTCAATCCCTGGTACCGAAAAGAAAAAAGAAAAGTGTGTTGGATTTATTTCACTGAAGAGTATGGTTTCAAGGTCCATCCGTTTAGCTGAAAATGTCTCATGCACACCCTTCTTTATGGCAGAGTCGTACTCCATTGTATAAAAAAAATCTTCTTTATCATTTCATTGGTTGATGCAGATTGCCCATTTTAAAGACACCCCCAAGCCCCATAAATATACCCAGCTACGGATCACAAGCTGTCTTTCTCTCTTGAAGGCCTGTGCTCTATTTCTTTGAGTGCTTACTTTAAAAATTTCTAATAAATCCCTTTATACTTCTATGAGGTGTGGGAATCAGGGAATTTGCAAATTAATTGTACTGGTAGGGTGGCTGTAGGGACCTCTGCATTTGTAGTTCTTTGAGAACCACCCGGAGTTCTCAAAGCGTGGGTCAGCGCTGTGCAGTCTTACAGGACTGGCCTTCCCAGTGTCCACCTGAGCTGGGGGCTCCCGGAGGACTTCCGGTCTGCTGCAGAATGTGATGTTAGGAATGCACGGTGAAGCCGACCTCCGCTGCCACCCCCTTAGGGCAGGCCTGAAGTGTAGGCTGCTACTTTCCGCTCCCAGCTCCTCATCACCTGTGGGGACTCTGCAGGTGCTTTGTTCTAATCTGAGGTCGCTGGGGACTCTTAAGTAACCAGGGGGTGTGATCATGTGTTGATAGCGTAGTTATTAGGGAGCGATGGGGACACCTGAGCCCTCCGTGCGACTGGCCTGAGGCCAAGGAGGGAGCCTTCCTCCAAGAGTATTTTTCTAGATCTGAGGGAGGGGTGGGGGTTGACATTCAAAGGGACAGTAGATCAAAGGTGTTTTCCAACCGCTCCAGCCCTCCACCAGCCTGGCCCGTGACGTTTGACCCCCTGCGCCGGACCCCAAGGGCCCGGGTCTAGGGCAGAAGCAGCTTGGGATATAAACTCAGTCCTTGGGCCAGGGATTTAGCTCAGTGGTTCCGCTGCCTGCCTCGAAAGCGGAAGGACCCGAGTTCGATCCTCGGTACCAGAAAAAAAAAAAAAGTGCGTTCTTGTTAATGGAAAAAATGGAAATAAAGTCTTTGTAAATAGGGAAGGGTGGAGGGCGTGAAGGGAGGACTAGGAATGGAGAAAACATAAGAACCAAGATGCATTATGTAAAGGTACAATTCCCAATGAGAAATGTAATTGTGTTGTATACCTACAATGTACCAATAAAAGA